CAGCGTCATTATGTCACTGCATTATATCAAGAACATAATTTGGTAGATGTATGCTTCAGGAATATTCATTAAATCTGTTAGGGAGCTTTGGTAGCAGTGTAGCTGTTTTTCCTAGGCCAGCTTTGATTTAGGAATCATTCTCCATGTGATGCTATTCATGTCTTATGGCAATTCTGCATGGGTGCAAATGATGAATTTTTAGATTTCTAAGAACTTTAGGTGATAAAGTTGGAGTTTTGAGGGTGTTTAAGTGATCTTAGAGCCTCTTAGAATTTTATAAATGTTCAGTTTGAATTTAGGCATACAACTGAAACCTCCAAATCTCTTTTGGATCTGTGCCTAAGTGTCCTCAGGACATAGGTGTCAAACTAAGCCTCATGCCAGTATCAAAGTGTTATGCTTCTGTAGAGTAAACAGTTTTCAAAGATAAATGTACATTTATTATAAGACTTAATGGAAGTATGGAGTGGATGCTGAAGGATTTATGTTCATCAAGTATTTTTATTTTTACAACAATGAGAATGGTTCAGTGCTAGAAAGAGTATGCATATATATCTACATGTACAAATTTATATGATATTGGATGAAAAAACTTGGGAGTCAAGTAAATCATTAGGAAGTTGTTAGTTAAGTGATATCTGTGGTGGTGCCTCAACAGGCAAAGTTAGTCCCACAGTAGTCCCATATAGTTTTGCCCTGTTCTGATACTTCACTAAACTGGTATTACCCTTTTTATCGTAGCCTTCTTGGAAGCAAATAGACTTCCTTTTGCTTTTATGGTTTTATGCTTCATAAACTTAGTTTAAGGTTGACCTGTTTTTATAATAATATGTAGTCAGGTTGCAATCTTTTGTGTAACACACTTCAGCAAAACATTTAAGCATATACTTCAGTCTCACTAGCAGGCACTTTTCTTCTCACTTCAGTCAGCTACTTAAGGACATATGTGAGCTTATGTGTGTCTTACGGTCTTAAGTAAGGCTCTGTCACTTTCTAGAGATATACTTCAGCATTTTGGGTTACAGCCACTGCTCAGTCAGGGCTTCTGTCCTATTGCAAAATTAAGTGCCTTGGCCTGAGACAGCTCCCATGTCTGTAAGTTTATGGGTTACTCAGTTTTACTGAAAACCAAAAGATGAAATTTTGGAACAAATCTCCATTTTTGAGGGCTTCTACAGAAGACAACGTTTAAGATAAAGTGTATTTCTGTGTTACATGGGGAACGTTATGGTTGGTCAGGCTTCTTGCTATCAGTTAATAATTACAGACAGGTCGTCTAAGTGAGTGAAGGGTAAGCGATGTAGGACTCCATCCAGCTCCCACATGGATCACTAGGCATCACTGAACAAGCTCCTTACTCTACTATGACCCACTTATGTTTCTGCTTTTTGTAGAAGGAAGAAAACAGCTGCTAATAAACTGCCATTTCCTGTTCAGTGTGGGAGTAGGAGGATGAGGAGGGAGGGAGGGAGAGGTTAAAATTCTCTGACCTCACTCCGCCACTGCACTTTCTAGAGCAGCTGAGTCACCCTGGAAGGGAAAATGTGCAGCAGCACTGGAAAAGGCCTGGTATAGCTTATGGGCTGGTCTCCATCTACAACTGGAAGAGTTCTGCTCTTCCTCTGTTTTTGTGTCATCAGGCTGCACTGCAGGGTATCATTCTTGCCCACAAAAAGTTACAGAGACTCTCTTGGGTTTAGTATGAATTGAATCAGGTCTGTAATGGCAAATACAGATCAGTTAGGACTGATCGGAGTAATGAGTGCAATTACAAGGCTGACTCTGCCAACATGACTATTAGGAGTTTCATTGATATTTTTTGGGACCAGACCATTGTGCTTTTGTAAATCTCACCTTAAATTTCAACTGTTTTTAATGTTAACATTGTGAAAAGATTGTAGCTGCCACTTAACCCAAATTTTTGGTTAAGTTAAAATGGTTGAAGTCAATGTAAAGCTGGATAAGTATGTGTTCAAAACTCTAATAATATTATTGCTGTGTTTTAGCCCGTACTATTTTTGTGTTTAAGCATTTTGTAATTTATGCAATATCTAAGGAGAATCTTAATGTTCTAATTAAGCAATTATTTTCAATAAGTCATAGCAATTTGAAATAAAACTATCTCACTCCAAAAACTGCTACTCAGTATCATGACTTAAAATTTTCAAATAATGGGAAAACCTCTAGAAGTAATGAAAATAATTATTGAGTTTTCTCTTCTTCTTCCTTATTTTTTTTTTTTCTTTCTTTTCCCCCCATTGTTACAGTCAACCAGATACCAGTTTTAAAAATAAGCTGCAGGGATAAATGCACAATTCAGGCATTACATGGTGTGAAGCCAATCAACAACATTGTGTTTCTCAGTTTTTCTGTCTTATTTGACAATTTATATGCAGTAAAGATGGAAAGTACTGCATCTGTTTTTTTGTTGGGGTTGTTTTTTGGTTGGTTGGTTTGGTTTAGGTTCTTTTTTTTTTTATGTCTACTGAACATTTAGAACACTTTTAAGGAAACCACAAGATGTGACAAAATATAAGATATCTCTGTTGTAGCAAATTATGAAAAACTCTCTTGACTCTTATCAAAGGCATCTATGTGATCTTAGTGCCAAAAGTTTAGTCCTATATGTTTAGCAATTTACTGGACTTTGTCAAGAAGTTGGATTTTAGTGCATAACCATACAAAGAAGTTACTGCTCTTATTTATTATGTTTAAGAATCAATACACAGTTTTCTGCAGTCTCAAAAGCAACTTTAAGGGAACGAAAAAAAACCAGTAAAGAGAAATAAAAAACTGGTTAACTGAACACTTACTGTTTTGGAAAAATTGAATTCAGTCTTTATTTTGCAGTCTGTGACAGTTTGCGCTGGTCAACCAGTAAGTGAAGTTCAGTCTTCTAAAATTCAGCAACTTTGTTAGGTAAATCACAGATGTGTCTTTTTCCTCTTTCCTCCTGCCACTTATTTCAAAAGTTTATTTGTATCTATTTCCTCAGGTATTTTTTTAATTCAGCATGGCAGGAGAATTGATACCTAACAATGTTGCTTTCTAAAAAAAATTTGAAGGTACTTTTGCTTTCTAAAGCTGCTATAAAACCATCGAGTTCCCATGATGAATCTTCAACTTTATCTTTTCCCAACATGATATTTGTAGCTTGTTTGCAAAAGTAGTTATTTGAATATTTGAGGACAAATAGGATGAATGATAATGTTCTAATTTTAAAGGGTTTTTTTTTTGGTAAAAAATACAAATTTGACTGGCTAACTGAGATCTCAAGTGGTACACATGTGGAAAGAGATGGAATTAAGGTTACATATACAACCTTTAATTTTAATTTCTTAATCTTTTATACTTAACCATGCATAAAAAACCTTGATTTTTTTAAATAATTATATGATGATTTGGCTGTCAGGCTCTGGAAATAAGTATATAAATTAACATTGTTTAATTGATACAATTTTCTTCTTCAGCTTACCATGGATACAATCCTATGACGGAATGCCCTCAAGGCTACAAGAGGATCAATGCTACATTTTGTCAAGGTATGATAGTGCCCACAATTGATTGTGTTTGTGTACTTGTTTTCTGTGACAGATTCTTTGATATTTATGACTTAGATGAATGAATCTAGTTCATTGATTTGTATTTGAGAAAAACTGTTGAGGCTACTTTTAACTCTTCAAAATATTGGCAACTCTGTAGGGTGTTTTTTTGCCTTCAGGGCAAAAAACTTTTAGGACTTTTACTTATAGTCTCATTTTCTTTGATGATGTATGTAGATGATTTCATAAGGATCTGTTTACTTTGCTCTTCAGTATAAAGACATTGTTCTGTCAGGTTGTTTGCTAAACAGTGATTCTATAGACTTAGTTAAGTCAGATGAAAACAACTTTTTATAATCACAGAGGTTTAGAGTAATCAGAGAAAAGTTCTTTTGGACATAGAGGTTAGACACCACAGTACTGAGAAAAGCCAGACAGTGTCCCTGGCCAGTGGAGATGAAAAACACGTGTACCTGGCTGCCATGTAAAGCAGTGACCCACGTACTTCCAGAATGTGCACAGTGCAGGTGAGGATGTATGGAGTTAGAGACTGTGTAAGTTGTGTTACTCCAAGATTAGACTGTATTATCTCTTGGCTGTAAACATAGTAGTTATCAAAACATACAGGGTTGTGGGATCTGCAGGATCATGAAGTTACAAAGAAAGGCTTGGAACAGTTACATTCTCGTGGCCTATGGCAACTCTATCTGATGAAGGTGAAGAGATACCCATAGACATATGATTGTTCTTTCTGTGTATCTTTGAGCACTCGATAGAGGTGTTGGATGAGGATGTAGGAAAAACCTTAATTGCTTGTTTGACTTGATTGGCACAGCATGAGCAAACAAGAAGGAACTCTGAGAAGATGTGAGCAGCCTTGCAGTGGTACTCTGGAGACATTTGGGAAATAAGGGAAAAATGAGCTCAAGTGAGACTGATATTGCTGTGGTCAGGTTTGTTAGTCATTGTTGATCCAGCAAGGGCAAAAGATGTCCCAACAAAGAGGAGTAGCAGTGGAGAGCAGGATAAAATGAAAGAGTAAATGTTGTTAAAGGATATTTGTAGGCATTTTAGACATAAAGTTAATATTTAACTGAAAACTTTCACTTAACATTCTCATGAGGGAATGTACAATAGCCAGTTGCATAAAGAAATTATTTACCAACCAAAATAATAAAGTTCATAGAGCATTAAACGTCATGCTGTTTCATTCCTGAGGGAGATGTGAGCTGCTATCTGCAAGTATAGACACCTGAGCCCATCTGCTGCTCTGGCCTCTATCTAGGGGTTTACCAGCAGGGTAGGAGCATTTGGGAGACTCCAAGAGAAAACTGGGATGGGTCAAAATAGTAAAAACTAAGTGGAGGAGAGCTACCAATTGCACCTCAGGAGCTTACTCCCTGCTCTGCAGTGAAAAACTAGAGTCCTCTTAATAAATAAAAGGAGTGGGGACATGTTGATGGTAACTTACTAATGAGAACTGAAAAGTGAAAAGGTGAAGCGGTTGAGTGTGAGTCATAAATGGGCCACCTTTTCATGCCTCAAGATGTTTCCAGCTATTTTAAAGGAGATTGTCTCATTCCACATATTATTCATGAGGATTTTTGGAGTCTGCAAAAGAGAGGTTTTCTAACTTTGAGCACAGAAAGTCTCTAGAAGATGCCATCATGGCATCCCTCTGAACATGATCCAGGAGGGAAAAGAGTTTTTGGTATCTTCAGTAGTTGAGCACAAACCCCACACAATAGTTTCCTAGACAGCATTAACCCAGCAGGCATTTGAAGGCACGTAGGGCATTCAGTTTGTTTCAAGAGATTGTACCCAGGTTTTGGCAAATCTTATTCCGTAGAAACTAAGGTAGTCAGGGTCTACAGATGGTTTAAAATGGTCTACTACTTGTTGAAGGTTGCCTTTAGTAGGCTGGGAAATTATTTCATTGAGCATTGGCAGGCTGGTAAGGGAGGGAGAACATATGTCTCTGGGTAGGAGCATTTGAGGGAACTAAGCACTGCCATGGTAGTGTACAGAAATAGATCCATACCTGGTAGGCTAGTCATTGCTTTTTGCACTGGATTTTGATAGATTTTCCACTGACTCAGTTTTGTACCACATAACTAACACTGCAAGAAATATGAGGCTTTAAAATAGTTTGTTTTTTAGTGCTGTCATTATCCCAGAAGAGAGCAAGCTGTAAACTCTAAATATAACTTGTAGTTGATACGCAGAAATCTATAATCTAGAGTTTAATCATCAGATGGGAGTAGGATTATCTCACCAGGAAGTAGGCTGTTGAATTGAGGATGGGGACAATCTCTTAACTTTCTGGAGAAGGCAGAGGTGGTGGCTGTTGGATGTTCCCCCTATTGCCTTATCAAGGCTTGAATGGCTTCTCTGTAGTTTGCTCACCAACACGCTCCAAAAGGAGGTACAAAAAAGGAAGGAACTGGGAGAAGAAATACTGATGAAACAAAGCCATGATGGAATTTAGTACTGTTGAAGTAAGTAACAAGATTACCATTTTCTTTCAGCAGGTCATGATTTTGACCTCTGTTTGAACATTCTTTAGGAAAGCTAACTTCATTCGTGAAAGCTGCTGTCAGGGTGCATTTCAGTCCTGAAGTGGTTAATAGCATGTGCTTTTCAATGGGGCAACCAAAAGTGTCCTGTTAGTTTATATGAAGCAGACATGCTTTTCTAGGAGCAAAGAGGATGGGGCTAATGAAAGAAGAGCTGTCCATATTACTGACACAGAGCAAAGCTACAGCAGTAGATGTTGAGAGAAAACTGTATAAGCTGCTGTCGTGGGAGTATTCATATTCTTTCAATGATCCTTACAATTATATTAGAAGGGTGTGGAACAGCATGTCTATATGCAAGTGTACGTTTTAATTAGATTATTCTTTACTGAAAGGGTGTGCATGCTGTGTGCATGCTCAGAAAGGGCCAGGGCTGCCAGACAAAATAGTAATGAGGATGTATTTCTGAATCCATCCCTCCAGCTTAAAGAGATTGTTGTTTTCACCTAAATATTGTCCAGCTTTCACTGCCTTTGAAAAATTGGGCCTAAAAGCCTAATTAACCTTTTGTTCTACATTGGTTTTGCAGTCAAAAGCCTACAAAGGCTTCATAAACTAAGAAGTATTAGTGTGATTAATAACCAGATCCTGATTTCTTTCCTTTCA